TATAATGTAAACCAATGGGGAATTCTAAATATTAATTGATTGATGTAGTACTTTCCCAATGGTTTCCATATACCGTACCAAAATGGTGATAGTGATATTTTTCTACTTAATAAATAGTGATATTGTACAATAATGATGTATATGTCTGTTTGAGAATTACATCTAAAAACAATCTTCTTGATAGTGTGGTAGTTAGTCCATGGCTATAATGATAGCTGTGTAATTCTATAGGTGTTCGAATATACAGTGGGTTCCCAGTGTTCAAATGTATGCCAGATGGTTTGTTCTTGTTATCTTGTTTTGCTGTTCATCTGCTTGAAGTGAATAATCCTATGCTTGCCAGTTGTATTGATAACCTGTGTTTGCAGTTGAGTTTGTGTCATTCTTCAGGTGGTGGTATTGGAAGGGGGATGGTAGATGGTTATTAAATCAGATAACCCCCCCAGCTGATGACATGTCAGTTTAGTTACGTTGTCTCATTTTGTTCTGTTTTTTTTGTATTTTGATATTTTATTTTAGTTTCGCTGAAACCAATGTGTCTTTGAGGTTTTTGTTTTTTTGATATGCTACAATTGGAGGTTCTGGCCATAGAATTCGCAATGTAGGATCATTTTCAATTATGTTCCAGTGTTTACGTAGTATTTGTGCAATGTATTTTGTATTACTATTGTATTGAGTTGTGAATATTGGCTTGTTATTTGTTTTGTTTGTATTTTCTGTTTTATTAAGTAATTCATTCTGTGTGTATAGTAGTACTTTGTTAAAAGATGTAATAATGTTGTCATGTTTATAGCCTCGGTGAGGGCAATTAGTAGGTTGTCCAGTCTTTGTTGTAGTCTTGTATTGTCAGTGATGATGCGTCTATATCGTAGTGCTTGGCTGTAGATGATGGAATTTTTGCATGTTTGGGGGTGAAAGGAGTTTTGGTGTAGGAGTAGAGTTCTATCGGTTGGTTTGATGTATAAGTCTGACTCAAGTTTGTTGTTGGAGTTAATGTAGATAGTTGTGTCAAGGAAGCTGACTGATTCGTATGAGTATGTGTAGTCAAATTTAATTGTGGGGTGGAAGTTGTTAATGTATGTTATGAATTGCTGGAGTTTTTCAATGCCATGAGTCCAAATTGCAAATATGTCATCTATGAATCTTATCCATTCAATTGGTATAAGACCCTGTGGTGCTTCGATGAGAAGCTTCCGTTCTAATATTGCCATAAATATGTTTGCATAAGTGGGTGCCATAGGCGATCCCATAGCAGTTCCATGAATTTGTAGAAAATGTTCATTGTTAAATTTAAAGGTGTTTTTGTTAAGTATGAGGGATAAGATGTCAATAACTGATTGTGTTATTTCAGGAGTTATTATATTGTTTTCATTCAACATATCTACACAGGCTTGGATGCCTTGATCATTAGGTATGTTGGTGCAGTCGAGAAAATCAAAGTTAAAGTTTATGTTATAAATGAAGGCCAAGGGAATTAATCTCTATCACATATAAAGATACGACACGCTTATGATTTTTCTTTGTGTTTTCCTCATGAATTATTAAATAAATGAGTTTTTGAAAAATATATACTGTATATTAAGATTTAAGTATTGAATGCATTGTTTGTTATTTACCACCATACAGGAGGAGGCTAGGATTTGGTTTAACCATAGATCAACCTGTCCTCCAAGGATCTCAGTTTGGTGTTGTTCAGCTGCTTTGCATTTCGCTGCAGGAGACGATCGTTTTCAAAGTGAAATCTATTCCATTAGAGCTTTCTTTTATTATGATCTCGAAGATCTGGCGAAGTCTGAACAAGATATCAATGAGGGCAAAAAATTAAACATTGACCTAACATTGGTGGGTTCTAAATCATTGTGATAATTCGTAAATAAAAATAGAAACATATAGCGTGTTTTTTTTTAAATTTTGAAAATCTAACGTTGCCTGGATCTCGTAAGCCCGTAAGCTAGGATCTTCTACAAGTAATTAGTGTAATGTATAAACAAAACAATTACATGTACTATTTTTGTCATCCATGTAGCAAATGGGCATGAAACTGAAGCAGCAAGGCATAAACGTGCTTCGTTCAGGACAGTATAACGAAGCTGCACGTTTACTACAACTTGCAGAAATGTTTTTCCGGCCACCATGGCGTGTCCACCAGTCACAGAAACACTGGCACGAGTGCTGGAAGTGTTTAATTTATGCATCTTGGCATGGTAAAATGTATGGAAGAGCTATCCAAGCCGGAAAGAAGTGGCGACAAATGGAGCCGATTACTCGTCAGGTATGTGAAGTTTCTTGGTGTGCATTTGCATGCACTAGCGGTCTTGGACTGGATATAGATGCGACTGGTTGCTTGGAATCACCGGTCCTCTTAAACACCGTCCGTGAACGTTCATGCGTGAACAACCGCTTGGACGACCGCGAATACCTTCTTTTCTCGAATTTAGCATTAATTCTACGTTATGATTTAGAGTGAATGAAAAGTGAAAGTGGTGATAAGAAAGTAGTTGATTTTAATCAAGAAAGTGCATCACAGAGGAGAAATATACAGAGAGGAAACTGTACCTGTGAAGTAGTGCTTTCGTTTTGACGGAAGCTCCTTAGGAGGCTAAGGACAGGGAGAGAGAGGCTTCTTCCTTTAAAAGACGTTATTAGAGAGGTGTTCGAGACTTATCATGTATATAAGGGCTTAATAGAGCTGTACATATGAAGTAGAGCTAGCGCTGCTCCCGATTGATCGATTAATTTTTTGTGTTTCTGGTAATCGATTGAAAAACACAGCCGTGCATAGAATGATACTTGGATAACTTTCTTTCCTAGTTGAAAAAATTACGAGGAGATGGTATCAAAGCGACTTGTTTTTGTTTTATTCTCTGCTACGACCAGCGCTCCCATTGGCTGTCAAATAAAATATTTAAAACATGCCCCCTTCTTTGAAGCAACATTTTGTGGACGTGTTTAGATTTATTCAATACGATTAATCGATTGTTGATGACGATTGATCGATAATGATAATGAATCAATGGGAGCAGGTCTAATAGAAAGTAGACACTTTGCATTCTGGATATAATTGAAATGAATGAGATATTAGAAAATACAGGCTCTAAATAGTAATAATCTGGGAAATAATAATATTGTCTAATATATAACAGGAGGAAGCCAATGATTGGAAAGAAAGAGGAAACGAAATGTTTAAAGAAAGAAAGTATGACATCGCCATTGATTGTTACACTCTGTCAATTCAGTATGCAGCTCCTGCCGACGATGTACTACTGGGAACACTGCACAGTAATCGTTCACATACTTACCTTCAAAAGAAACAGTTCAAGAAAGCCAAAGATGATGCTGAGAAATGCTTGAAGTATCGTCCAAATTGGTCCAAGGTATGACATATGCCCTTCCCATTGTGGCAGCACATGGGTACGAGGTTGATACCTTGATATTAATATATTACACGTCATCATATTTTTTGCGCTGATGGCTATAATGGCTAACGGATCGAAAACTCTGCCTGACTACAATCATTGACAAAACACATTCACCAATTTGAAAAACATTGTCAAAAATTCAATGATTCCAAATTAAGATTCGTAAATAGACAGTGCAATACATTCTCAATAAAAACATGATGTCATACCGAGCAACATTCCGCAAGGAATGATATGATACAATTCCCTAACGCAACATTGTTAAGGGGGCGCGGGGGTTAAGAGGGTTTTAGTTGTCTTACTGTCCGAAATGTTTTGTCAACGATTGTAGTCAGGGAGATAAAGGATAAAAATGAATGAAAAGTCACCAAATCAGGGAGCATTGAATTCCATTTTGCCTTCATCTTGTGCCTTTAAGGCTGGTAAGTACACGTTTATAAATTTGTCTTGAAGAATTAGAATTGGTTGAAAACTATAAATATAGAGCGTTTGCACATGACGTCACAGCCGCCATGTTGGTGTTCTAATTCAAAAGAATTTTAATTCGACTTTTTGTCTGGCCTACACCAACATGGCCCCCATGGCTTTTGTTGAGTTGGCAATTGGACAAGTTTTGGTGTAAGACAC